TACTCTTCCGCACTGCGCTATCGCTTTAACAAATGTTGTATTGAAGTTTCCAGCTTTGGCATCTCAGCAGAGTCGAAATCATTAAGTTTCTGAAATCCATTGCAACTATGCTGCTAAATGCCGACCAATATCAATTTGAAGCATGCGGCCTCGTCACAGTACACGTCAAGGTTCCTGTCAGGCTCGCTTCTTGCAGATGTTGTGGAGACAATGTGCTTTTTCGATGTTCGGCGTCGATAGAAACAGTGATACCCGCCACGTGGCCTGGGGGCACAGTGTGCGGAAGGTTTCATGGAGAGTACGGCGCAGCTGCAGCGTGCGACGTGCAGCCCTGCTGCGCGCTGGATTGAGGGTCTGGAGCCCAAACCTCGTCCGACCGTTCTCGCAACCTTTACCGCCTCGCAGATATACTTCCTTCCAAGGAGAATTCGAGAGCCACAATGTTACTTGTATGTGCATGCCTTGCGAGCCTCAGCTTCACACGCTGCAATGCGACCTCAGTATGCGGTCATCTGCAAGCAATGTCTTCCTGTTTCGGTGCTCTTTTTCTGGCAGACTGTTGTGTTGCCCAGGTTGCCGGCATGCAAAATCCCAATTTCCTTTCAGGATCCTTCTGGTTAACAGTCTGTTCTCCAACCTTCATGTCATGATGAGGGCTGCCGTGTTACCATGTCGGACTTGAGTCCGAAATCTTGAGATGTTGTTAAGCGTCGCCGGAAAGTGTCGGTGTTTAAGGCGAGCCACCTTCACAAACATCTGTTTTCGCTTTGCTGCGGAGAAGAAGGAGGCGGCTTGTGGCGAAAGCCCTGATAGGAGCAGAGTAAAAAAGTTCGATACTAAGATATTACAATCGCATCACAAATAGTTGCAGAATATAGCAATATACTAACATGATGCTATCATAGTATATGCCAATATGTAGATAGAACAGAACCAGAGTATACACATAGCCAGAATATATTGATGTGCTCATATGAAAATCATCGCATAGTAACATAACAGTATTAGAGTATCACAATACTGAGTAACAAGATATTTATGTGCAATTATTGTTATAGAATACTACTCTATTATCATATACGAATAGTGTATTAATATTGTCGGAACATTATTATATAGAAATGTAAAACTGTAGTAGTATATTGATGTAGTGATATACGAGCTTTCTAAAAATCAAAAGATCATGACATCATAATATAATACTGTCACAATGTACTAATATGATATTATACTAATATCAGAAGTTCATAAAAGCATAATATCAGAGTATCAGAATGTATTACTATAAAAACATAATAATCAGAATACATTTCTAAGAATATAGTCATCAGAAGCACAACAAAGCATAGCAACACGATATAGTTTTATGGCTAACGCGAGGCCGCCTCGGCAAGAGTACCGAGGCGGCAGGAAGGAAAAGTGGGGGTGAGGGGGGGAAGGCGGAATGCCCGTCGCGCAACAAGCGGGGGGTAGTGGGGGGGGCGTGGGGGGGGGGGGTTGGGGTGGCTGACGGACCGCGCCACTCTGGGAGGGGGTAGGGGGTGGGTACACTTCTTCTTAGTGGTTCCCTAGACTTGGATCTAGACGCCTCAGGCCTCCGGCCTCGGCGGACTAAAGCAATATACAAGCATACTATCAACGTGGAACTCTATGAAAATGACACGATATTGGTAAAACACTGCATTAGCAAAACAATGTGATAATATGATAGTATCAGAATATGACAAAGCGAAGATATGAAATACGAGCATATAAGAAGCAAAGGGTCAAACCGTCTCAGCCCCTCAAAGAGGTCGCAGAACGAGGGCACATCTGTTTCTGGGCTGACAGGTGCCATCTGACACCGCCCCGGCCTCGACGAGAAGAATAGATTGGGCGACGCATGCACCAGAGGGTTGCATTTGTCGCTGTGCTCGTGCTTGTTTTGCTGCCCAGCTTTGAGAAATGCGAGCCAATTGGAATACGAGCGGTGATGACGTCAAGACTGATTTTTCATGAAGTCAGGCTTCAAGGTAGGCAGAGGTTCGAAACCGTTTCTGGCTTTAGTTTAGCTTTATCGTGCCATTGGGGCACTTTCAGAAAGGGGTGTCAGCATCATTACCTCTCTCTATCTGTCTCGCTAGCTGTCGCTGTCTCGCTCTTGAAGAGCTCAGGCATTCCCATGTGCACTCGAGCTGCTTGTCCCCCCTTTTCCTGGCTTTCATGAGCATTTGCCGGTTACCCTGGCAGGGTCCGCTAAGCACATAGCCGATGGGATCCATGCGCTTTCTCAGCTTTTCGGTGCCCTCCCTTTCAGGCAGTGCCGACTGGCGTGTATGTTTCCCAAACTGGCATTCCCCAGCTTACCGACACTGGCTGGAGTTGGCTGTGATCCTGAACACCTTGTTATCGAAACCCTCCTAAGTTCAAAGGCTCCTCCTTTCCCACCTTCGTTTTTCGTACGCTCCACAATGCCTAGCTGTTAAGCTTGTAAGGTCCGCCGACCGACTACGCTTGCAATCATGGTGACAACCTGTACCACAGAGTCCTCGCCTCAGGGGGGTACGGTTCGGGGCCTGGTGCTTGGAATATCAAGGTGCCTTGCGCCAGCTCGATCTTTCGCCCTTGCTGCCTCTTTGAGATCACCACAGTGTGCGAGTCCTTAGCCGGAAGCCAAACAAATCGACGCCTTGCACTGCCCTACACGTCTTCTCGGGACTCCCCTAACCGGTCCTCACTCCTCCCAACACCTGAGAGACATCCCGGATGGACACGTGCAGGACTTTGGACCCTACACCTTTGAGGCCACAGATGCGCGCAGCGCACTCAGGAAGATCAAACTGTCGTAACATAGACATCTATGTGGAGCTCCTGTGCATTGTCAGGGGGTTAAGGGTGGGCTCTGTTAAGATCAATGGCCATGCCCCCAAATGCAGGTGGCCACCACAGCACCGGTCGACCACTCCTCTTGCGCCTTGCCAGCAGAGAACCTCACCAACTGGAGACCCCCTCATCCAAACCCTTGTACGTCCCCTGTACGTGAGCCTCCAAGTTCCAATGCCAGACAAGGCGCCAGTAAAGCCAAAGTGGATTGCAGGAGGCTTGCCAAGTTTTTTTGGATGCCTTCCGCGTTCCGAGTTTCTCCTTTAGCATCAAAACATCGAACCACGTGCCCAGGATTGGCCTGGTTTACGCTCGCGAGGCCCAAAACGGCGTAAAGCAGTGCAAAAGCTCCGTGCAACGTAAGCGTGTTTGGCGCTCACTACAATAGCCCAAGCTGCTGGAGTCCTGGAAAATGCTAAGTCCAACTTGGCGATTCATGTACGGATATTGCTGAACACCTCTTGACAAGCTGCACATCGCAGGTATCGATAGATCAGAATTGAGGGCACCCCTTTGCACCAGACGCTGCGCGCTGTTTTGAGAGGACCTGGCGCTGATCGTGGCGCCGAGCCGTCCAAGCTGGGCGCGAGGGCCATAGGCAGGCTGTCCTCCATCCTTTCAAGCACTTTAAGATGCTGTTTTCAAGGCAGTGCCAGGTGAACTCCTCCAACCCGGAGAGCTTTGAATCCTCATGCCCCGGCAACCCTTGGAGTCAGATTGAAGCATCTTCTGACATCCGAGATACCCCTGAGGTCAAGGAGTCCCAAAAGTCCCATGAGGATAGAACAAAGACCGCCTAAATCCTGTGAACTCCCCAAGCCACCCCGCCAGGCAAGGGTTGCACTTTCTGCTGCCACGCCCATGTTTGGCGACTGCCCACGAGGTTGAGGTGCGGTGCAGTACTAGAGGAACTCTCTTGCTAAGGGGCAATCGACATCGGAGGATGTGTCCCCAACTTTCATCACCAGCTGTAAGCAGCTGGCGTGATAGTCTGGCAGTCTTCTCGGTTGCTGTCAGAGGAACTCTCTCAACTTCTCAACAATTGCAGCATCTGAATTCGTTGGAGTTGGAGACTTAAGTTCCGTTAATGCAAGTGTTGTCTTTCCTTGTCCCTTTTTTGAAACGCCTTTTCCTACTACACTTAGCCTGCCTGCATGCCCGCACTCTTGCCAGAGGTCAGGAGAGCATTTGTCCATGAAAAAAAGCCCGATAGCCGGTGTCCTGGGCCCTAGGCCCTCGGCCCGAAACAAAGCTGACCCGAGCCGTCTTGCCGTCTTGAAGCATGAAGTCTGAAAGCTGGACGGATATTCTGCACCTCGAAGTGCCGTTCCAGGCCCTCCAGCCCGATCTGTGATTCCAAGCACACCAAAAATAGAGTACCCGAACCTCGCCCAAGCCCTAGCTCCAGTTGGAGCTCACCGTGGGCGAAGCGTCCAAACTGCTGCATTCCGCAGCCCTCGAGGAGCATCTTGGGCCCTTGTCGACGGCTTCCCTGCCAAGGCAACTGAAGAAACTGACGGACTTTGAGGTCTTCATGCCTTGCAGGGGGGACTTCAAGTTATGGCTTGCACTGCACGCACATTCAACTCAGAGTACGAGCAACACGAATGACAGGAATAATGAACTACAGAGAAACGGGTCCTTCCGAAACAGCGGACGTAGCGGAAACCAAGGAGGAGTCGTAATTCCCATGCCCGCATCCGCCAATCGGAAGCCCTCCTCAAGCTGGGAGGTTGATGCGACCCAGACGGGCCAGGTCCTAGGATTGGTCGGTTGGGCTCTGAGCGCTGCTGGGAATGTAAGGGACGGGAAGTAGCCATTCATTTTTCGGAGATGTCGGGGCCTTCAATGGATGAGATGTTTGTGGTTGGTGGTGTTGCTCTGGTGAAGTTTGGAATTCTGCAGCCGCTGTGCCAACAGTTCCCGCTCCGCTGTAGGTTTAGGTCTAGATGCTGCCACTGCTTTTGGCTCAGGCGGGGTTGAAACTTTGGGTCAGAAGCGTTAGGCCGGAAGCTGTGATCCCCTTCACCCTTTCCCACCCTTCCCCTCGTCCTCCCATGCCTGGACGAACCTTCGTGGACCGCTAGGATCCGCGCCGCTAGGATGGCGAATGACCCCCTCTCACCCTGACCACAGCCATGTATGTGGCGGCCGACAGTGACTCGGAGGAGAGTGAGCGGCGCAGCTGGGAGCGAGAGCGACGGCGGCCTGCGCGGCCGGCGCGGCCGACATTGCGCCTTGTGTCAGTTGGTCCTAGGGCTCCAGGGTTCGGATGGTTCAGAATGTGGGACCAGGTTTAGAACGGAAGGTTGGGGGACTTGCTGCCTTGACGCGTCGGACATCATCACGTCGCACAGTTTTGTAGCGTTCGCGAGGCTGGATTTGTTGTGCCGCTTTCTACACTCCCAGTAGTTCCCCCCGAACAACTTTGGCACACTGAAGAGTGGCAGCTGAAGCCTCAGACTCAGACTCGAATCCCTGTGCTCACGCTGTGCGGCGCTTGTTCTCTCGCGATGGCTTGTGCCCGAACTGTTGCAATTGTTGCTGCCCTTTGGCAAAACGTCCTGGGGCGAGTAGCTACTGATGTGGAAGGGTTGCAGAACGCATCCCCGAAAATGCAAGGGTTTTTGTTCGCTCAAGTTTCCAAGTTGGGGGTTGAAGCAACCGACCCAGAGCTTGAGATTCAAGTCAGGCAGAGTGCGGATCTGGCAGCACAGGAGCTGGCACAGGCGGGTGCAGATGAGCCCATCGAATCCCAAAAATCTCAACCATCAAGCCCAAACTCCTTTGTGCCGTTGAAGCCCTACATCTTAAGCAGAAGCCGACAGCACGTTTTGGAAGGCCTTCTTTAAGAGAGGGTTGGCCATGGCATTTTGTGCCATATGGACGACACGATACTTGATTTCTTTACTTAACTTGTCTACTTTGTCTTCGAGAGAGAGAGAGAGAGAGAGAGAGAGAGAGAGAGAAAAGAAAAAAGAGAAACAAAAGAGAAAGAGGACTGTCAGGACAGAGACCCACTTGGCCGTCGCGGCCGGGTCTCCTTCTCTGGAGGGGGCCCCAGAAGAAGGAGGAGGAGGAGGAGGAGGAGGAGGAGGAGGAGGAGGAGGAGGAGGAGGAGGAGGAGGAGGAGGAGGAGGAGGAGGAGGAGGAGGAGGAGGAGAGAGAGAGGTTTCACAAAGCCTCCGCGGGGAAGATTGGCGGTGCGCGCGTGCACCCTTCAAGCCCCCCGAAGAAGAGGGGGGGGGGGACAAGCCGGGGGGGCACTGGAAGCAAGGGAGGCAGGGAGGGAGGGAGGAAGGAAGGACGAGAGGTAGAGTGTTGTTCAGCACTTCTCCGAAGTCACTTTCACATGTGCCTTTCTCTACTTGCCTTCTAGCTGAGTTTCTGGCCCTTATCTCAGTTTGCAGCAAGCTCCAGCCTCGAAGATTCAAATCCTCATCGCAAGATTAGCTCATAACGATGCTGGTTCCAGACCTGAGCTTCACCGAACTCGTCAGATGCACATGTTGCTTTGAAAAATCCCTTGTTATATTGGGGGTCCACATCCGACACAGCACTCGCTACAACTTACACAGTACAACTACACCTGCAACGACAGGCAAAGAAGCACACCTGGAGCATCGAAGTTGGTTTGTTTAGCAAGTCCATCAACGGCAAGTGACCCTGGCAGTCTCTTTGTAGGTTAGTTGCTGCTAGCGGCTTAGCTGTGTTTGTTCGGAAAAAAACAGCAAGTGGCCCCTTGCAAAAGTTCCAACACGTGGGCCGAGGTCGGCAGCGCCGGCTTCTCTGTGGAAGCCTTCCTCCAGCGTCTGGTTCGATGTGGACATGCCGTGAACCAGGCGCTTTTTTTTCTGGCTGATTCGTGTTGCGGTGGATCGGGCATTGTACTAAGCTTGAGGCTTGAGTCTAGGTTTGTGGTCGAAGTGTTGATGTTCAAGGCTTACGGTTCAATTTTGAAGGTTGTGCTGCTTGGCCTTTGTCAAGCTTTGGGCGTGGGGGCAAAATGTGCTTGGGGCGTTTTGTAGTCCACAGGTTTACTAACCCAACCCACAGAGACTCCATCTTGATCCGCCAATGCTACATTATTATGCAATATCATATCATATCATATCATATCATATCATATCATACACATTATATCGTATCAATCACATTGTAATATTGTATTAGTATTGTATGTATTGTAGTTGTATTGTATGCACTTTTCTGACTGCATGTATGTTTTCTTTTTGCGTATATCCTACTCGGCGAGTTTATTCGATTCTAGTCTGTTGTATTCTGTTGTGCCCTGTTGTAGTCTTTTGTATTCTGTTGAATTCGGTTGTATTCTGTTGTATTCTATTCTGTTCTGTTCTGTTCTATTCTGTTCTATTCTAGGCTATATTGCAAGGTTATGTTGCAAGCATGAAATGGTGGTAAGTTCCCCAACTTTGTCAGGATCCGAACCCCCGAAGACAGTGTGTTGTGCCAGCTGAACCTTCGGCGGAGGTCGTGGCAGATTGCAATGCAACGCCTTTCGGGGTGCTGCTCCAGCACCTCTCGAAGGCACTTCCCAGTTTGGTTCAGCGGAGCTGGGTGCCTCGGGGAGCTCAAGGGTTCGGACACTACGGGGTGTGAGTCTGAGATGGCTGCTACAACGTTGAGTCACGTTAAAAGTGAGACATTCGGGGCTTGGCAGAAAAGCGCGACAGCATGCCCAGCAGAAGGTCCAAAGCAGGTTGTCCGAAGCAGTGCCAGCGTGTATGCTTCTTGAACAGGCATACACCCCTAGCCCAACTGGCTTGGGAGGATGGCTTGCTGATGGAGCCGAGAGCCCATCAAGCCGTCGCGTCGGCGCTGGCACACGGTGCGATATGGAGCCGGCGGGGCAGCACCATGGTGCCGTTAATTTGTGAAGGCCCAGGCGGACATCAAGGTATCATTCAGAAGATTCGGGTGATGTCGGTTCAAGTTGTCGTGGCAGCCGTAGAGTCTCCGTTCTTACGAGTTCCCGATGTCACACCTTCCTCGTAGTTCTCAAATAGCCCTGTGCACTCATGTCTGCCATGGAGATTCCTGATGCAACCTCCATGCCTTTGATGTCCGTCATGTGAATGGGTTCTCTAGCTCTGTGCTGCAGAGTCGCGTTGCTCGCTTCTGGAGAAAGGGGTCTGCAGCCTCAATCGGGAGCCAAACCTCCCAAGCTTTGTTTTTTTTTCCGATTTTTCTGTTCGAGAGCAAAGGACTAGGGCAGGAAGAAGCATGACCGAGAACTCAGGAGGCCAATCTGGATCATCTCCAGCATTCGCTACGGTCGAACATGACCATCTAGCCGTAGCCATGACAAATTTCATTCAGCCAGGGTGCTACTGTGGGTTTTGTGGGCATGGAGTGAAAAGGTTCCCGCTGCATGGCGTGCAAAGTGAGGCAACTGGACCCAGCCTCTAAGACTCTGCAGCACGACCGTCGTCCGCATGTACACACTGTCCCGTACAAGTACCAGTAGTTCTCAGTATAGTGAAGTACAATTAGTATAATAAGCTGAGTGGCCCGCGAACTTCAGACGGGACTTGCCCTGGTCCAGCCCTAGAGCTGACCTGCTTGCTTTTGTTTTCTTCTGCGCTACAGCTTCCAGCCATCTCGATGTTTAGCACACTGCCCAATGTTGTTTTTCTCTCTATAGCTTGTGCTTGTACTTGCCTTAAGTCATCACTGGCAGTTTGGCCGATGATCTGCAAGGGTCTAAAGTGATGCAGACGACGGCCGCTCAACTTCTGATGCCTTGTGGACCGAGTTTTTGCAGTGCAACTGCGGGCGCCCGCTGTGGCCTTCCTTCCCGACCCCCCTCCCCGCACTTCAGACCTCCAGCATACTTTTGTATACTGCTTTCGGATTGTGAGCCGGTCGTCTTTACAGGTTGTTGGGGCTGTTGGGGTCCCCTGGTGGGATGTATAACCCTGCCTGTCGCAACTGTGGTTCATGAGTAGTTTTTGCTGCTTGGCTGTTCGCTTCTCTCCTCGACCCTCCTTGTTTGCCACCAGTATCTTCTCTCTTCTTGCACGCTTCCTTCTTCTCACAGCCGTCATGTAACTCATATGTCATAGGCTTTGTTGGGTTCTGTTCCGCATTTTGCTTGTGAGGTTTCCTTCTGTGTCTTGAGGGGGCGACGCGGTGGGTTTGACCGTTGCTGCTGGATGGTAACTATTTCCTGCTCCTGCGTTTCCGTTGCTCTTCATTTCATTGCGTGTGGCCTTCTCATGATAATTTCGTTGTTCAACAAGTTCGAAGCAAACTCAGACGAGGGCTTCTTCGGCTGTAACCTCAGAACAAAGAAATCTAATGAGATTTTGCTACGAGCAGGCACCAGAGGAGGATTTCATAAGGTGTGGCATGTTAGTTTAGACATTTAGAACACCTAAACGCGAACGAAGCCCAGAAGAGGATTCATGACAGTGCCTTTGAATTTGAATATTTTAAGGCCAGACGATTTCTCAGAGTACGATCTCTTCGGGCCTTAGGCTGTGGGCTGTTCACACACATTTGCTTGAATATGAACCTGCCAGCAGTGAAAGCTTTGGAGGTTCCAAAATGCTTCCAGGCCCCAAAAAGTTGGGGACTGTACAGCACTTTTTGACAAGCGCTCTTTTCTTGCGTTAAACAAGGAAAGGGGGTGCCGTGCATGTACATGTATTTATTTGGATATGTATCCCGAGTATGGAAGCTTCGAAGAGATCTTAGTATAGCAGCGAAAGCAAACCGACAGAACAAGGCACCTGGCCCTTCGAGATCCTGTTGGAGGGCTTGGTCAAGCACCAGGCTTTGGAGAGTTCTGCCGGCTGCAGGATGCTCGAATTGGCCTTGTCTGGAGGTGCACGTGGGAATGACGGAGCAAGCCGTGTGTTTTTTTTATTGCTGCTGGCTTTCAAGGTCTTATTGGGTTGTATTGCAAGATACCATTGCAGCAGATGGTCGCAATGGTCAGGTGCCCGGTGGGAGACGGAGGATGCAGCGTCTTCCCCGTTCCCGTCTGACTTCATCTACTGCCAGCTCCTCCAGCACATACTGGAGGCCAAGGTCGCTGACCGGCCGGCATATGTGCAGCTGCTGGAGCGGTCCTTGGTTGAGCAACAGCATCCGCGGCCCATGACCATTCGATTTGAGGGAGGCGGCTCTATGTTCGCGAGCTGCGTGCGCGCCGTGGCCACGAATGGATCGCTCGGCAAGCCGGTTGGCAACGACTTGATGGAGAGACACTGCCTTGGCGTTCGTTGTGGGACAAGTAGTTACGGTAGCAGCAACAAGCATATTTATGCAGGGCAGCAGAAGCATTGCAGAAGCAGGTGCTAAAGAACAAGTGCTGTCTTGCCTGCAGCCCGGATCTGCTGTGGACTCTAGGCGTTGAAGACTTGGGTCCCTTCAGGCCCTTCGGCACTTTTATGCGCTGTCTGTCCAAGATGACAAATCTTCCCGGCAGGAGATGGCAAAGCGCCATGGCGGAAGCTGGGACCTCCGCGATGGTTGGAACAACTCCGGGCTGGAGGCATCGCCCGAGCATCTGAAATCTTCACCAAACAGGCAGCAGACATTTTGGCCGGTGGATAGCTTAGGGCTTAGGAAGAAGCACTAAGAACCTCGAAGCCCCGTCAAATGCAAGCCCCAAGCATTCGCAAAATGGTGGTTTAGCCCTGTGCGTAGCTGGGGAGGAGCTGCTTCTGTTGCTGCTGACCCCAGAGCCGCCAAAGATGCTCTCAGTCGAGGTGGGTTTCGGGCCAAAACGGCTTGGTCGATGGTTCAGGCGCCTGCAAGGCTTGTAGTTTTTCATGGAGGAATTACACTCCTTTTGCGAGCTGTGCATACCATCGCTTTACCCTCGACTGTGGCTCAAGTTGCCGATAAAAAGAGGCGTACTTAACGGTTTATATGTTCCCTCATGTGCTGACCTGAAAACTTCAGGTTATCAGCCGTAGAGTCTCACACAATGGCTCTGCAGCTGCAAGATGGGACCATTGATCCCAATGCGCAACATGATCAGACTGCAACAACCAACTACCAACAGTTCAACCAGTACCGGGTACAACAGCAGCTGATCATCGTGCAACAAAACGAGGATGCAGAGCGAGTTCGTATCGAAGCCGAACGCAGACATGCGGAAATCCTGGACATGGCTACAAGACAGGCTCGTGCAGAAATGGGAGAACTCGAGCAACACGCTGATGCCCAACATCGTGCACGGATTGAAGTCATCAGTGACCGCATGGACTTTGTGGTTCGCGAGCTACAACAACAACTACTGGAGACCAAGGCAGCACTAAGAGGTCGAACGGCGGAGCTTGACCAAGCCGCACAGGACGCACACACACTCAGGATGCACAATCTCGAGCTTGAGGCACGAGGTAACATGGTTCTCGAATCGGAAACTCGCCTCAGGACCCATCTCGAACAGAGTGAATTTTCCCTTGCTAACCTCAGGGTTGTGTACGATCAAAACAGGGAAACCCAGCTGGAATTCTTAGGCAACGAATTTAGAGAGCAAATGCAGTATGAAGAGAACATGTTCACATATGCCATGCATGAAGAAGAGAGTGCATGCGATGTCTTGATTCAGGAGTTGGCTGAGTCGAACCAGCGTTTGATGGTTGAACTTGATGAGGCTAAGGCAACCGCTACAGCGTCATCTAGCCTGCCGAAAGGTGGTGCCGAGCACCAGCAGGCTGTTCCCATGGCCTCAGCACCTCCACCGGGTTTGAACACTGCCGAAGCAAGCCCCCCGCAAGGGGGTGCCGCATGCGGTAATGCACATGTCACGCATGCTGATTTGCCAAATCCGTTGCAGATTCCAGAGAGCATGAAGGGTCTCTTTGAGAGACGGCCCCAGAGGTTTAATCTGGGAGCATCTACTCCTGTTTCGCAAGCCCCTAATGAAGTGCATGAAGCGATTGCAAAAGCGCTCAAGGACTTTGCTACCAAGGATGAGACGAAACCTAAGACTCAGGAAGCGGAAACAGTGAAACTTCCGGATTTTCCCTCAGCGGAGACGTACAGATCGTGGAAGACGGCAGTGCGTGAGGCCGTTCGAGCAGCATCTGATCACCCTGATGAAGCATTTGCGTGGATTCAGCAGGTGTACGCAAAGGGTGCGTCACTAGATAGCCTCAACGATGTAGGGAAATTCCTCACGCTAGACACCAAAATCCTTGCAGCATTGTCTAGGGTGGCGAAGGGCGAGCTTGCGAGACAGATACTCAACTACAAGGAGACGGAGGCCACCTGTGGTAGAGCAGTGAGAGGTAGGCAGGTGCTGTTAATGTTTGAAGCCTACTTTAAAACCAACGAAGAAGTTGGCTCCCTCTACTCGGTCGAAGACCTCTTGAAAGTGGCACTGATCAATGATGACCTCGCTACCTTCGTGCATAACTGGGATTCAGTGATTGCTGGACTATCGCATCCTCCAGACGAAACCACTTTGCGAGACATATTCCTCCGTGAGCTTCGCAAGTCCCATCGTTTGAAGTATGATCTCGACATTTACGATCGGGCTCGTGAGGGGACCCCTGAGCACACCTACAAGTTCCTCATGGAAAGCATCAAGAATCTCCTCACACGAGAACGAATTAGGAAGAACAGGGACAAGATTGCTAAGGCCCATGGCGCGAAGTATGGTGCTCCTGCCCCTCCTACCCCTGCGAAGCCGTCGGCGCCCGCTCCTTCGGAGCGACGACAGCCATCCAGAGGACGTCAGGGTAGGCAGGTTTGCATGTTGTTTCAGAAGGGTAAGTGTAAGTTTGGGGAGCGTTGCAAGTATGAACACACGAAAGACCCCAAAGCATCCTCAAGGGAGAGATCTCCCAACCGGCCTAAGTCAGGTTCTCGCGAGAGAGAGAAGAGCAACAGCAAAGATACCTCCAACATCCCATGCGTATTTTATGCCAAGGGTACTTGCAGGAATGGGGATAAATGCAAGTTCTTGCGCAAGGACAAGTCCGCATCGCCCTCTGTCCCGGCCAAGGCTAAGGCACGTGCACCCTCCCCGGCTAAGCGAAGGCCGAGCCGGAAGAAGAGGACAGAAGCTAAAGCAGCTGCCTGCTGCGTGTACGCCTTAGCCGCCCGAAAGGGTGAGCCGGACGGTAGGCATGCAGACACATGGCGTCTTGATGAGAAGTCACTCACGCTGTCTAGGGAACATGTTGTTCTGAGAAACGACTATTTTATTCCCCAAAGCTGCCCCGTTCCAGTATGGAGAATCAAGTCTGTTGCGAGCATCACCATGAAGCTGAAAACCGGCGAAGAGCGAACGTTACAGTACAATTGGAAAACGTGCGACAAGCAAGCACCTCTGCCCAATTGGACGGGCGTTACGAGTTTCAAGCTGAAGCCCAAAGACATGTGTGTGTGTTTCGAAAGGCACCCTGAAATACACACAGTTGAAAGCGTCGGAGATGGTTGGAAATTTGTTCCCCATAAGCGCAAATGTGTAGCAAGGTTCAAAACCAATGCTGATTGCCCTATGTCCGACCCTGGTGATCTTCAGTGTGCAGTTATCACCGCACAAAATCTTGAGGCCTCAGTTTACTCGGAACTCCATGGTGAAAAGACAAAATGCAAGCATCGCTGCTGCAAGCCTGATTTCGCTTGTCGGCATTGTGCAGCAGGAAACATATTGTCAGGAACTGCCGCTCCAGCGCGCAAGGAACTTCAGAACTTGGACATCATTGCCGACACGGGAAGTGAAGAGGACCTTATCAGCTCTTCGGACTTGAAAAAGTGTTTCGAAGGGGTCGGTAGGAAAGTCGACGCAACGCCAGTCAACCTTCACACAGCCAATGGCATCGTGGAGGCATCGTCCAGGACAGAAGTCGAGGTTCCGTCAATGAATGGCAGCCTGGAATTCGTGGAACTCCCGGATACCCCACCGGTTTGCTCTGTGGGAAAGAAGTGCATGCAGCAAGGGTACGGTTTTTACTGGCCTCCAGGGCAAGTTCCGTACTTCGTGAAGCCCGATGGCCAGAAGCTCACTTGCACGCTACGGGGGAATGTTCCAGTGTTCAGCAGTATTGGGAATGATTCCGGACACCCAGCTGCTGTAGCGCATCGCGATGAAGGTGAACGAATGGCGCCCACCTGCTCCTTGCAGCAGGATTTTCACGCATAAGCTGCCCGAAAGGGCATGCCGCAGCAGCCGGACCACTTCCAGGAGCTCCAGACGGTGTAGTCCCGGTACCTGCGGCGGACGAGGGAGATCATCCACCATGGCTGGCAGAGATCCTAACCAAGGATTTCCCTCTTGAAGGCATGAAGAAAGAGCAACTGTTGAAGGCTGGATGGGTTACTGTGAATGGTGATCCCCACGTCAAGGTTGCCCACAACCCAAAGACCTTCAGAACACCTGCACCTCGCTACCCCAAGTATCGAATTCGTTCCACCTGGGGATACAAAGATGGCGAGTGGAAGCAGCTGGAGAACAAGGTCAACATGGACGAGCTCGACGCCGTCTACGGGAAGGTACCTGAGGGTACCAACATGACCATCACTGTCTTTACCATGCCCGATGGCGGTGAAGATGTGCCCGATAGCGACGTTGAGGTCCACATTCCAAAGTCGAAGAAGGACGAGGCGTCTCTAAGAGCTGAAGCGGAATCCGTGCAGCATCTTTTGAGTCATCGTCCAAAGAACCCTTTCTGTCCGGTATGTCAACGAGCCAAAATGTATGCTCCGCATGCCAGAAGAAAGGGAGGGTCTAGCACTGTGCACAGCAAGGGGTTCGGTGACCACATCACCATCGACCACATCATCACGAAGGACGCCAAGGACTACGGATTCGAAGGACAAACTGTAGCACATGTTGTGAAGGATGTCTTTACGAAGTTCCGTTATGTTTACCCGGCCGACAACAAAAGTGGTGAGCAGTGTTACGAAGATTTACTGCACTTTTTCGAGGTCGATGATAATGTTAAGGTTGTTTACTCAGACAACGCTCACGAGTTCGACTACGCGGTTAAGCAACTCCAAGCTAGGCACAACAAATCCAGGGAGTATGTGGATCAGAACAAAGCAGTGATCGAGCGTGAAATACGAACGATCTTGGAAGGTACGCGTGCCAATTTGGTACAATCTGGTTTACCTGATCAGTTCTGGCCACTTGCATCCCAACATCATGCTATTTCTTTGAACGTTAGTAAACGTCTTGACAACGGTTTAGTGCCATGGAATCAAAGGTTCGGGAGCGACTTCCAAGGGGTCCTTGTTCCCTTCGGGGCTAAGATTTTGTACTGGGCCGACCCCAAGCAGAAGCAGCCCAAAAGGTCAAAGTTTGCGGGGACGGGTATTGAAGGAATTTTCCTCGGGTATCATATCCAGCCTGGCTTCGTCTTCAAGGCAGAGTACTTAGTTGCTCCTTTGCAGGGAATCAACGAGGCCATCGAGAATGACGACTTCAGGACTTTCAGGACCAAAAGGCTTGAACTCCTGGAAGGGAAGTTCCAGTTCCCATTGTCACAGGATCTTGAAGCTCTGGGAAACCAGAAGCCGCCCGAACTCGATGATCAACATCACAACGCCGTTGAAGAAAGAAACCCGCATCAAGAAGAAGATGATTTCGAAGGGGGAGTGGGGCCGCTCGATGAAGGAGATCGGCCATTAGGAGGGTCAGCAAGGGACGACATTGTCTATCCTGCACGATATGATCCTCTAGATGATGTACCCTTCTCAGTCCGAGAGAGACTGGCACCTGCAACCCCATCGTTCAAAACAAAAGACGGAA